CTTTGATAATATCACACAGTCAGGTTTCACATATGATGGTGGCAGTGAGGAGGGTGGAGACATCTGGAGGCTGCCATAGAAGAAGTTGGTGATGCAGGAGGCTCAGGATTTGCTCTAAGTTTAGGGCGATCTGGATACCCCCTTTTTCTGATCTGCAGGGGGACTAGTAGTCATCTAAGGCTGAGGGGCCTTTGAAAAAGAAGTCTGGAGGAGTACGGTTGAGTGGGCGGAAGACTACAAGAAGGGGATGTTGATTGATTTCCCCCTTCGATAAATCTCTCCCCCCCCATCAGGCCTAGGCCTAGTATGGCCTCTCAACTCAATTTAATGATTCCCTGCTTTGACACCCCCACCTGAATATTTCTCCCTCGCTGTGTTACCCCATCAGCTGTTGTTCCATCAGCACTTACTCCGCTCTTTGATATATCATCCTACCCCTTTAATTCCATCCCGGCTTCCACGGATATCGAAGGGAATGAAGACAATGACACTGTGAATCCTTATTTGCCCCCTGTTTATTTTGTAGGGGAACGGACCATCTCCTCTTAAATCCTTTTGGACTCTGGACTGATCATCATGAGAAGGCGGCCATTAAGACCTTTATTTCCCCCTGGACAGAATTGTAATTTTCAGATTTCTCATCGCTATGAGAGGGCCATTATTGTTCTAGTATGTTGGTGCTCTACATAACATCTTCTTCCCCTCTACTATGACCATCTCCAACACCTTCAGAAGATTGTCTCTCATCCCCTCCAGCCTTTTTTTCTATTTACGGTGTACTCAGCTGTGGAATCCTTGCACTGCGAGACTCCCCCCTGTGGCAGGTTTGGCCCTCTCAACTATCGAGGGCCGCCCTTGATGATGGGTTTTGGAACCCCGAGAGGTGGTATGCTAAAAAACAGAGGATCTGGGGTTTTTTAAATAGATTTTTAGATCCAATTTTAAGGGGATCCGGGAGGAGGGTGGTTTTTAACAACAAAAATGAGACTGGGGGGTCTCTTAAGGATCAGCAGCCATGCCATTCTGATGGTCCCAGCGGATTGGGGGGGGTTGGGAGTCATAGAGGATGTTTGGAGAGGTTCCAGAGGAAGCTGACAGGTGGGACATTTTATACCTGTGATGGTGGGATGGGGCAGAAGAAATGGAAGTAGGGGCCGGGAGCATCACACCAGATGCATTCAGGTGGTGACTTGCTCCCATGTCTCCTGTTCACCCTGCTTTCCTGGGGATGCGAGAGCAAGGGACCCTGGTCTTCGTCTGGTGTATGTGAATGCCAGGTCCATGGTGAATAAGGCCCCCCTCATACGAGATCTTATTGATGAAGAGGGTGCGGACCTGGCCTGTATCACGGAGACCTGGTTGGGGCAGGAGGGGGGAAGCCCTCTCTCTGATTTATGCCCCCCAGGCTTTCGTGTGCTGCACCAGCCACGACACCAGGGAAGGGGCAGAGGGGTGGCGGTGGTTGTTAGAGAAAGTCTTAGTCCTAAGGAGGTCACTGTCCCTCAGATAGGCGGGTGTGAGTCTCTTCTATTGAAGTGGGACCCTGGAGTTCAGTCGGGCTTGTTGGTCACATACCTATCTCCCAGCTACATTGCCACAGCCCTGCCCACACTGCTCGATGTCTTGACTGAAGTGGCACTTGAACTCCCCAAGCTTTTGGTTGTGGGAGATTTCAATCTGCCTTTGATCGGTGAATCATCGGCGACAGTCCGGGAGTTCATGGCTTCCATGGCAGCCATGGACCTGACTCAGGTTATTCAGGGCCCAACTCATAGGGGAGGACACACACTTAACCTGGTTTTTCTCTCTGGGCAGTGGATAAATGGTCGTGGTAGGGGGGAACTTTCCATCGCCCCCCTGTCATGGACCAACCATTCCCTCCTTAGACTAGACTTTCAATCTGCCAACCCTTGCTGCTGGGAGGCGGGACCCATAAAATGGTTCCGCCCCAGGCGCCTGATGGAACCAGAGAGGTTCTTGACGGAGATTGGGACATTCCCCACCTCTCAATCCTGCGATTTGGCTGAGGCTCTGGTGGCATCCTGGGAACGGGCGACTGCCGACGCCTTGGACCGAATTGCACCTTTGCGGCCTCTGACCCGACGCAGATCCTGGGTCGCTCCTTGGTTTTCCATGGAGCTGCGGGAAATGAAATGTTGGAAAAGACACCTAGAGGAGAGTTGGAGGTCCTCCCAGTCTGAATCTGATCGAACACAGTTAAGAACCCATATTAGGTCTTATCTAGTGGTGATGGAAGCGGCGAAGCGAGATTACTTCGCCACCCTCATTGCATCTGCAGAAAACCGCCCAGTGGCCCTGTTTCGTGTGACCCGCTACCTCCTCAATCAGGGAGCGAGGGAAGACCCTTTACAGGGCATAGCTGAGGATTTTGTACAGTTTCTGCATGATAAAATCGCTCCGATCCGGATCGGATTGGACTCTGACTGGGCAGAATCCAAGGGGGAGACTAGGGTAGGTCTTGAGAGTAATATCTGGGTTGAGTTTGACCCTGTTTCTGTCAAGGAAGTGGACAAGATTATGGGTAAACTTGGTTCCTCCACTTGCTTATTGGATCCTTGTCCCTCCTGGTTGGTTTTGGCTGCCAGGGAGGTGACTAGAGCCTGGATCCAGGCAACTGTGAACGCTTCGTTGAAGGAGGGCATCTTTCCTGCCTCTCTTAAGGAGGTGGTGGTTCGACCTCTCCTCAAAAAGCCTTCCCCGGATCCAGACTCACTTAATAACTATTGTCCCATCTCCAACCTTCGCTTCATTACGAAGGCTGTTGAGACTGTGGTGGCGCAACAGCTCCCACAGTTCCTGGAGGAAATGGAATACCTAGACCCATACCAATCGGGCTTCCCACGCGGGCACAGCATGGAAACGGCATTGGTCGCTCTGGTGAATGATCTCTGGCGGGCTCGGGATGGTGGTTGTTCCTTCATCCTGGTCCTACTTGACCTCTCAGCGGTTTTTGATACCATCGACCATGGTATCCTACTGCAGCGACTTGTGGAGTTGGGGGTGGGAGGCACTGTTTTACAGTGGTTCTCCTCCTACCTCTCAGGTCGCTTGCAGTTTGTATGGGGGGGGCAGAGGTCCACCCTGAGGCCCCTAAATTGTGGGGTGTCTCAGGGATCGGTTCTCTCCCCCCTGCTCTTTAACATCTATATGAAGCCGCTGGGTGAGATCATTTGTGGCTTCGGGGTGAGATATCATCAATATGCTGATGATATCCAGTTATACATCTCTACCCCAGACCACCCCAGAGATGCTCTTTCCATGATGTCCTGTTGCCTGGAGGCGGGCCTGGATGGGTAGAAACAGACTCAGACTCAACCCCTCCAAAACTGAGTGGCTGTGGCATCTCGGGTTACAGAGATCCCATCACTTTTGATGGGTGGGGAAAAACTTGCCCCCATTGATAGGGCTCGCAACTTGGGTGTCCTCCTGGATGCTCGGCTGTCTCTAGAAGACCACCTGATGGCCATGACCAGGGAGGCCTTCGCACAGGTTCGCCTGGTGCGTCAGTTTTGCCCTTTCCTGGACCGAGATGACCTTCGCACTGTCACTCATGCCCTGGTTACTTCCCGCTTGGATTACTGCAATTCCCTCTACATGGGCCTGCCCCTGAGATGCACCCGGAGACTCCAGCTGATCCAGAATGCAGCCGCACAGATTGTTACGGGAGCCCCTCGTTACTCCCATATAACACCTCTCCTGCGTGAGCTGCACTGGTTACCAGTGGTTCTCTGGGTCCGCTTCAAGGTGCTGGTTCTCCTATAAGGCCCTACATGACTTAGGTCCGGGATATTTGCAGGACCTTCTCCTGCCTGCCTCTCACCGTCCTGTTCGCTCACATAGGGCTGCTCTCCTGAGGGTTCCGATGGCGAGCCAATGTCGTCTGGCGGCGCCCAGGGGTAGGGCGTTCTCTGTGGGTGCTCCCACCCTCTGGAATGAGTTGCCTACTGAGCTCCGGACGGCTCCTGATCTCCGCTCCTTCCGTCAGGACCTGAAGACTTGGCTGTTCAAGCAAATAGGCTGACTCTGATTCTGGTTTTTATTATATATTATTTATTAGTTAATTTGGTTTAAAATAGGATTTTGTTGTACATGTTTTTAACTTGTGTTCGCCACCCTGAGTCCTTCTGGAGAAGAGCAGCATATAAATACGTGAAATAAATAAATAAATAAATAAATAAATAAATAAATAAATAAATAAATAAACAAGCATATAGGAAGACTTTGAAGTAAGAATTATAGTAAGTATCAAGGAGCATAATCCAATTAAGGGACTATAGTAAAGTTACCTGATCTACAATTGCAAGATTGTATACTCCCACTTTCCACAAACCTTGGTATGCTGCACAATCTCCTGTGTAACTTGCCATCCCAGTTGTAATTTTTATAATAAGAGAACAGGCAAAGCATTAAAAGAATATGCTTGCAATTTCATGATTTGCATCAAATTAATAACATTTAAAAGTAACATAAAATCTAATGAATTTAATTTTTGCCCTAGCTCCCTTCTACTTCTTGATTTTGTCTTTACTCGTTTGTGGCAGTTCAGGGTTTGCCATGCCAAACAGAAAAAAACAAACTTCTGTGCCTGGCAGAAGTGCTATTGTTGTGCCGTTTGCCACTGTATGGATTCCCTTGCTTTAGCAATACTGACACACTAGGATGTGGCTATTGTAATTTCTGTTATGCATTTCTTCCAGGTCCAACTTTGCATCGAACCACAACACACTGCATCTACCATTCAGATGATATAGCAGTCATCTCCTCATAAATCCATATCACTCCAGCCTCATTTATATTCAGAATGCAAAAAGGAGAGACCTAATAATGAACACTATAAAGAAAGAGTCCATAGTGCAAGACAAATTAAAAAGAAAAGGAATTATTGCTGCCTTTGCTGTATCAGCACCTCTGGGACTGATTGATTGATTGATATCCCACCTTTGTTATTTTTTATAAATAACTCAAGCTAATGAACATACCTAATATTCCTTCCTCCTCTTATTTTCCACACAACAAAAACTCTGTGAGATGAAATGGCACCAATTTGGGAAGAGCTTTCCAAGGACTGTGCCTTTCTTCTTTCTTCTTGAGCTGTAAAATAAGATAGACATCATTCCAGTATAATATGATGCATATTAGACCCCATCCCAATCCCTCCAGAATAAAACGGCATCTGCTCTCCCATGATACCAGAAAGCTTTGAAAACTTTGTTTTGGTCTTAAATCAAAGCTGAAGATGTTTGTTATTTGTTTAATGGCCCTTATTTTTTTTTACTTTTTTACTGTTAGCCTGGGCTGTCTGTTGATTTAGTATTTTAGCTATTTTTATGCTTCTTTCTCCTGGCAAATATATGGGGAAGAAATGGAGGTAGTGACAGATTTTATTTTCCTGGGCTCCAAGATCACCGCAGATGGGGTCTGCAGCCAAGAAATTAAAAGATGCTTGCTCCTGGGAGGAAAGCTATGGCAAATCTAGACACCATACTAAAAAGCAGAGACATCACCCTGCAAACAAAAGTGCATATAGTCAAGGCTATGGTTTTCCCAGTTGCAATGTATGGCTGTGAAAGTTGGACCATAAGAAAGGCTGAGAACCAAAGAATTGAGGCCTTTGAACTATGGTGCTGGAGAAGACTCCTGCGAGTCCCTTGGACTGCAAGGCAATCAAGCCGGTCAGCCATAGAGGAGATCAACTGCTGACTGCTCTTTAGAAGGCCAGATCCTGAAGATGAAACTCAAATATTTTGGCCACCTAATGAGAAGGAAGGACTCACTGGAGAAGAACCTAATGCTCAGAAAGATTGAGGGCAAAAGAAGAAAGGGATGACAGAAAACAAGGTGGCTGGATGGAGTCACTGAAGCAGTAGGTGTGAGCTTAAATGGACTCCAGAGGATGGTAGAGACCAGGAAGGCCTGGAGGAACATTGTCCATGGGGTTGCGATGGGTCGGACACGACTTCGCAACTAACAACAAAATGCTTCTTTTAGTTTTGTGTGCCATCCAGAGTTCACCGGAAATGGTAAGCCAATAAATGTAAATAAATAAATAAAACCAAACTACCAATCTATGAAAGTAGGTTAGTATTGCATTTCTGCTTTTAGTTTAGAAATTGAGATCCTTATTACTTACTGCACAATTTCTTCACTGCTGAGTGAAGTCAAGGTTGAATATTGCACAACGTAGATGGTTTTCAACAACTTTCCCTTAACTGGTTTTCTATTTCTTATTAAGATTGAACTGCATGTTCCTCTGAATGTATATGATGCAGTTACATCTTTGTTTTTATCTTTTATTACTTAAAGTCACAGAAGGGGATTTGAAGTATATCGATGAAATAATCTTTTCACCCCAACAGTTAGGAACATACAATTGCTTTCATACTGGATGAAGCAATGCACAGTAAAGGAAAAACAATTCTTTTTCAGCTCTGATCAGTATTTTTTAGAAATACCCTCCCTTCATAATTGAGATGTAAGGGGGAAAAAATTCTCCACTTCATGGGACTGGAATGAGTAATGAAAGGCCATCATTAAAAGGCCATCAGGGCCCCATACACACATCTCCCACGTATAATTCTGATTAGTTGGAAAAAGGCAACCAATATCATAAAGTAAACACTATAATATGAATATATGGCATGACATATGGAAAATGAAGATATTTCAAAGGTTGTCTTGCTCTTACAATATTAGATTTGGCCATTGAAGCTAAATAGAGATTATTAAATGTAGAGAGATTCAAGACCAGAAAAAGAAGATAAGACATATTTAAATGACTAAATATACATAATCAATCAAATAAACAATATTGATTTAATTGGATAGGACAAACATACAGAATATAAAGCCAGCAATGTCTACTAGTTATTACCTATTACTAGCTACTATACTAAATGAATTAGCAGTTGATTTTCAATATTTTCAATAGTTCCTGGCTAAGAGTGGAGCAAACTCTTGTTTTGCTTGTGTCTTTCCCAACAGAATGTTATTGGTTATGCATAATATAGAATATTGAATTAGATAGAATATAGAAACAGCTTGAATGTTTTTCAATTATTGTTTTTATGGTGCAACAGTAATGGGAGATGGGGCAAAAAGTGATATTGCACTTTACAGCTGTCTTGAAGCAGTTTACAGAGTCAGCATATTGCCCCCAACAATCTGGATCCTCATTGGTGGATGAAAGGCTGAGTCAACCTTGAGCTGGTGAGACTTGAACTGCTGACAGTCAGCAGAATTAGACTGCAATACCGCATTCTAACCACTGCACCACCACAGTAAATAAATGTAATTTTGATAGTTGGCATTTCACTTTGCAATACCTTTTTGAAATCAGATCCAGGTAAGACCCTGAAGTAATCGGGACTACCCTTGATTTTATTTCAAAGTGATACTAAAAATAATCTGTGTCACTGATAAATGTGCCTAGTTCTTTGTGTACATTGATAAAAACAACTGAATTAGATCTTGCTTTGACATAATTCACAGGCATACCTTTAATATCAGCATAAAAGGATTTTTTCGATCTGAAACCCCAAATTTGATAATTTCACCCCAGGACTGATTGTAGAATAGTTGAAAGATAAATTCCTCCACAAAAAGAATATTTTTTTTTCCTGGAAACTAATATTTCTATCTCCAATTATGAAATTCATGTGATTCTTTATCAAATGAAAGCCCTAAGAATAATAGTTGTTTAATGGGATAAAATACCCCACCCAACAAGGAATATTCATATTCCCCACCCAACGACAGGATTTTATTAGAAATATTTTGTCTCAGCATTTGTATTGAAAAATGTCTCCTTAGAGTAACTTATTAAATGTAACATTAGGAGAATTCATATTACACTAGATATGTAATTAGGAAATAATCTGCATTCAATCCCATAACCTACCCATAGCTATAAAAGTGCTTGATATAAAAAAGGGTCTGCAGATGCTCTTCAGATGATATTCTAAGAATCCCAGTGTAATACTGTTTCATTGTGATAAATCACAGAAGACCTGGGAAATCTCAATGCTATTGCTAATATTATCCGTGGGGGGCTTTTTATAGAAAAGCAGACGACTTTCAAATGTGGAGAAATTCTTAAAAAAAAAACCCAAACATCTGTTTAGGCCAACATGGCTAGATGTTAATATTGGATAGCATCATAAAAGGCCTCTTCCTTAGAGCGATGGTGATATTCAGGCTCGTTGAGAAGAGTGGGAGGAATGGGGGGGGGGGAATAGTGGAAAGGAGACTGATGTGGATCATTTCTTTTCCACTGATCTTCAAGGTTAATCTTTTCATTTCCCCCCACACTCCCCAAGAGATTAATATTTTTTATTTCCCCACCTCTCCATTCCCTAGAGATTTATGCTGCCTTCCCATTAACTAGGGCATCTGGCGTGGGGTCTGCTTACGCATGGAGTTGCCTGGGTTAGCTGGCAACATCGACAGGTGGTGGCCCGCGTTTTCTCTTTCTCTCTCTCTCTCTCTCTCACCACACACACACAAGCACACACTAGAAAGAGGCAGAGAGAGAGAAACGACGCACGCACACACACACTTAGTCAAAGCAACATTGTCATTCAAAGCAGCAGGCAGAGCTGCCTGCCTGCCTGCTTGCCGCTGCTGCTGCTGCAGGCGGAAAGGCGCTGAGGGGAACGGAGACGGTTGGGCTGCCCCATCTCCAGGCAGCGACAGGTTGGACGAGAGCCGCAGTCAGGGGAAGAAAAAAGCCCAGCCGTGGCTCAGCGCCTCCTTTGGGTGAGAAAAAACAAACGCCGCTGACGGGCTATCGGCAAAGGTAAGAGCGCCGCAAGGGCCAGGGCCGGCCGGGGGGTGGGGGGTGGGGAGCGCGTGTCAGGTGTCCGCCTTTGAGGGAAAGCAACACTGCGGGGGTCCTCTCCTCACTTCGCCTTCGTCAACTGAGGCGCAGTGGCCGCGCGTTGGGTCCTGTAATAGCCAGCCCTCACGGGCAGAGGTGGCTGGGTGGGGGGAAGAGGAGAAAGAAATACCTCGTCGAGGGAAATGTGAGGGGGGGGGGGGGGGGGGGGGGGGAGCGGGCAGCGCTCGTTTAGGTCGCAAAGCGCGACCTAAAAGGAAGTGCGCCCGCGCGCGCGTGTTTGTGTGAATCCTTTCTCTCCTCCCCCCCCCCCCCCAAAAAAAAAAAAAAAGTAACCGGTTGGTTTGTTTGAATCCAGTAAAGAGAGAGAGAGAGAGAGAAACAAAATGCCTCCCCATCTGCGCGGGAAACGTGCCTCGGCGGCTGGAACGGCTAGTGCCTTCTCTCCGCCTGAGCTGTCTGGCGAGCGGCAGATTGAAAACTCCTTTCTCGCCTTTTCAGCGAAGCCCCAGCAGGAAGAAGATCTCGGTGAACTTTGAGGCGAGGCGAGGCGGCCACCCCCCCCCCCCTCCCCGCTTTCTCTTCCACGGATCTTCTGAGAAGAGGAAGAGGAGGAGGAGGAAGCTGCCTTTTCAGGCACTGACAGGTGGGACGAAGCACTTCTTTTATTATTGTTATTAAAGCCGGGGTTGGAAAGGGAAAGGGGTGAAGTTTTACAAACCGGGAACGGAAACAAACTCTTACTGTGGGAAACATTTTTTTAAAAAAAGATTCTACTGGAATGTCAATTTAAAAGTAAACATGAGGGCATTTGATGATGTTCTATCTATGGGAGTGCTATAATTATCTTTTTTTTTTTTAGAAAAACAAACAACCTGGTGTTTTACCTATATTTTGTGCTGGATAAATGGGGTGCAGATAGCTGGAGAATTGTGACATTGCTAGTTAATATATTCTAGGTTACCATAACATGTTGATTTAATTCTGGTTTTACTGTATCCATATGTATGTATGTATGTATGTATGTATGTATGTATGTATATATATTATACACAGATGATTGAACTTAGTTTAGACTTTGAGCTGGAGCCAAAATTTATTTATAAGATGGCACAATATATCATGGAATAGATCTTAGTTTTGAGAGTTTCAGTTTTGCATTTATATAATTTGAATACATGGCAATATTCATAATTTCCTCACAATAATGCACTAGGACTTTTTTTTGTTTGGTTTGAATAGAACCAGAAAACTATTCAATAGTTAACATCTCTTTTAGCTTTTCTATCCTTCTGCTAATAGAAGTTTATAATAGAAAGATATGACATCGGTTTGAGCATTGCCTCCAGCAATATTTAGGGAAATAGAATATATTGCCCCGAATTGTTCTCTATTTATATTTATATTGGTTTTCAATTTTTTTCATTTTATTTTACAATAAATACTGTTTCCCCCATTGTTGGGGATCTTGTTATATAAACAAAGTCTAGTTGACTCTCATTTTTTGCACAATGTGAAATATTCTTTGGATGTAGGAAACAGTTGGGGATTTACATCTGCTGATTTATTAGGTGTACAATTTTATATGTATAATTTACTTTGTGTGATTGGTTCATGTTAGGGGCAATCATATATGATACTAGAAGTTTGGATCAATTCAATAGATGTTCTTTTTTTCCCCCTAAACAAGAATAATGATCAACTAAATTGCTGACTATGTAATAATAGTTGTACAGATATACATATATAAGTACCCAAAATAAACTCTTTTATTGGATCATTGCTAAAAACTAATTGCTAAAACACCTCAGAATGTTAATGGAACTACAGTAAATTTATACTTTCTAAACTCTTATCACACAAACTCATATACACATTTGAAAATCTCCAAATACACCATATCCAAAACTACTAAAGTATAGGAATTATTTGTAGATGACAAATTAGCATAGATTACTCCACTGATTTTTATAAAAAATTCATGTCCTACTGTATATTGTAATTTTTTTTGAAAATGTAATCTGATAAAGACAGATAGGAAGGCAGATATGATTTTCCATGACAGATTATGGGAAAATATATTTTCTGAATCTTACCTTAGATTTAGATTGGTCTAATTCTAGATCATTTGTGGAGTTCTGAATTGAATCCTGAGCCCAGTTCTGTGAATGATGTAATTTCATAGGAAGGTCACAAGAAAGAAAAATCTTAATAAAATTAAAATGTCACCCTCAAAGCTAAATTGAAGTGTTATCTATGTATGTAAACTATTGCATAAAATCTATGTTTTTAGTTCATTTTTTATCTTTATGTAGAAATATTGCTTAATCTAAAAGGTAATTTTAGATTAAATTGAACCTGTATTGAAAATTGAACCTGTATTGAAAAATATTATTCAAGTTCTCTTGCTGTTATTGTTGTGCTGTGATTTATGAAATGCTACATTTCCCCAATATATTGCTTGTAGCATCCAGGGCATCTGCTTCTATAAAATATCTTTTTTTAAAAAACAACAATGCCTTGATATGGTTTCCTTCAAATAAATACTATTATTCAATTACTGGATTCACAGTGATCTAATCACAAATATTCAAAGCATTTAATTTTGTGCCAATGCATAGATCTCCCTGGATGAAGAGAAGCAAACATTGCTGACTCCTCTTCCTCCTCACCACTTTTCATTCCCATTGGAAGGATTCCCTCCTGTGCTCTAGATAAAGATTTTAAGAGATGGTGTTAGGTGTGAACAAACCCACAAGTACAGAAGTCAAACTAGCTACTTTTATTGTGACTCTAGTCTAATTCCATGCTTCACCCTTCTCCTTTGCCAGCCTGGAGCTTTCCAGCATGGGTATTTCACAAATAGGAGGCATTTAAAAGACTTCTCCCTAGTCCCCAGATTCTAGCACAAATGGAAAGCTTCTAACGTATTCCTAATCCAAACAGTATGTTCTGAAATAGCATGCATTCTATGGTTAATAATTACGAGTATCAACAAACCATCAATTACTTGATGACAATATGACTTTGAAGCACGGGTGAAATCCAGGTTCTTACAGGTTCTGGAGAATTGGTAGCGGAAATTTTGAGTAGTTTGAAGAACCAGCAAATACCACCTCTGGCTGGCCCCAGAGTGGGGTGGGAATGGAGATTTTGCAGTATCCTTCCCCTGCCACGCCCACCAAGCCATGCCCACCAAGCCACACCCACAGAACCGGTAGTAAAATAATTTGGATTTCACCACTGCTTTGAAGTAAGATATTGCATATATTAAAATATTATGCATATGTCCTATTTTACTTAGGTTTTTTTAGATGAGTGAATTGATACATTATGCATTTTAATAAATTTCCCCCTGTCCCATTGTAAATGTAGTGAGGATGAGGTTATCTGTAACAAGTATCTCTTTTCAATTTCCTGGTGGTTTCTTTAAGACCTGCCTTATTTTTAAATTTAAAGTACTGTTGAGATTTTTCTTTTCCTTTTCCTGTTGTCTTTTCTTCAGACAATATGCATGTCTACAGGGTGCTGGATTCAGATTTTGTCATGTTTAATATATTGAAATCAATAGGATGAATTGATTATGACGATGTTAAGGCACACTGATTTTTGGAGTCTTTTTGAAACATAATAGAAAGCTTATCCTTACAGAATGTCAGGTTATTTCAGCAACACTAAAAAGGACTGTATAGAATCTATTAAGGTGGGAAAAAATGGAAACAGGGAAAATGTTATTTTAAAGGAGGTTGTTGTACTGGAGATTGTATGTACATATTGTTGCTTTGTACCTTGTTCATTCAAACGTGTGTGTGTATTATATATATATCTATATATATATCTATATATGTTTATGTAAGTTTTGTAACACAGTTTGCCCATAAGCACCAAACCGAGAACTTCAGCCAGAAGATGATGAATGCGATTTCGTCGAAACGTCGCTACTACCCGTTTAAGGATATGTTTACAATTACACGGGAAGGAATCCGAAATATTAACTGTACATATATATATATATATATATATATATATATATATATATGCGATATTTTTGCAATCAGGGTTTTTTTTCCTATGTTGAAAGATGTAAATTAAAATCTTGGGTGTTTTCCCGCGTCATTACAAATAAGTTGGTTAAAATATTTAAGCTGGGATTTTAACCAGGATTTTAAATATTTTAACCAACTTATTTGTAATGATGCAAGAAAACACCCGAGCTTTTAATTTTTTTGCATATACACACACACACACACACACACACACACACACACACACACCACACAGACATAGACATGTACACATATATGTATATATATATATACATATACATCTGTGTGTATTAAACATGTATGTATATGTGCATACACATATATGTATACACTCACACACATATAAAAGTATATATGTATATTCAGAAAGATCTGCCCACATGAAGAAAAACAAATGGAAAAGAAATGGAGGAGGACAAAGCAGCAAAGGAATTTTCCAGTGAGACGATAGTAGGCTCTTGTCCAGATTGAATATCTTGCAAGTTATTGCTAAAGTGTCCTAATCTGGATAGTATTTTCTTAAGATGGCTTTGAGTTAAGCTGGCATGAACATAGGACAGAGCAGCTTAAATTGTAAGTGCTTTTATGTCCTAAATCTGATTCAAACTCAGTATGTAAAGGTATTATGTACTTTTATGCATATTTTAGAGTAGATAGTTAAAAGTATAACCTTAAAGTAAGTTCAACACTTGATATTTTCCAGTGGAAATTGCTCACATCTACAGCTGAA